CCAAACGCCACATTCTGAGGTACTGGGGGTTAGGACTTCAACAAATGAATTCCAAGGCAGAGAGCACACCTCAACCCATAACAGAGAGGTAGGTGTTGAGAACAACTTGATGGGGTGCATCTTCCTGGAATCAGGCCTCATCCCTGCTTGGCCCTGGGTCTGTGTTGCCCCCAGAGAGTACTTTTCCTGTCAGAAGTCCAAGGCAGGGCTTCAGCTTTTCCCTTGTTCTCCAGTTGTCCTGCTGGAGCTTGGCCTGCCTTGCTCCCACTTCTAACACAGGGGCCATCCACTCAGAAAAGTCCATATCTGTCCATGAACTGCCTGTCCTTATGGCAGCAATCTTCATAGGCCTGTGCAGCCCCTGGTAACCAGCTCTGGTCTGGTGTGGTCTGATTAGAAAGCACAGTATCGCTGGAAAGTGTATGTTATGTCAAAGAAAGCTTAATATAAAATATTTTTCTCATTTCTATTCAGTTCATCTTTTATTCTGAATAAGCATGACTGGAACTTTGACTCAAACTGTTTGTTTTTTACTATTGTCCCTCAGAAATAGTTTCCATGTCCAGCCAAGAGAACTGTGGCCACAGGCATCCTCTCATTCCAGACACGGGAATGGTGTTTTGTGTGTACCATCTTATGCATGCTGGTGTCCTGATGCATTAGCCAACAATGAGGTTTCCAGTCTTCAATCTTTTTTAAAGAAAAACCTGTCCTGGAGTTGCCAAAGGGGAGGGGGCATTGACACAGTGTTGTTTGAACACTCTCCTGTGTTCCTTGCATCCCACCAGAAGAACTGGTGCTGTATCAGTTAAATAACAGGCTTGTGGAAAATACATCCTCCTAGCATGAATTCTGGCTTTTTCTTTATGATTTAGCCTCTCTTCTTCACCAGAAAATATATTCATTTCCCTGGTTGTGAAGAACATGGGTTGTGTCTGAGATTGGATGGTGTCCTGCCCCTCATGACAGCAACCAGGGTCCAGATGTGGCAGCAAGTATTATTTCCCCAGAAACCTTGTATACTTCCTCTGACTTTATACTCCCCAGAACAATTCTACTGTCCATGTCAGTGGCAAAGCGTTAGGAGGTGGTGGGAGGAAAAATACCTGCAGGTGTCCTTGGTGAGCTTTAAGAACCACAGAGGAGTCTGAGCTATGTGTGGGGGGGAGAGGTGGGGAGACTGTCTACTGATGATGCGAGAAGATGGCTTTTCTGAAGTCCGCTTTAGAGGCACTGCCTGGTAGCTTAGGCTGGGCCCCTGCTCTAGTTCTGGAAGCCTCCAAGGCCTCCCCTTGTGTGTTCATCAGGCTCCGGGACCAGATCTGTCCCAGTGTGATCCTAGTATAGGGTGATTCTGGTCAGCATGGACGATGATGAGGCCATCTTTAGTGGATCGAGAGGACAAGTTTGAAAACCAGTGCCTTAAAATTGGACTATCCCTCTTACTCATAACAACAAGGAAATCCAATTAATAAAATGGAATTTACCACATTTCAAATTTAATATATTAATATTTCTAATAACTTCATGACTTTCTATAAGAAGGATGTAGAAAATATTGCTGAAACTAATACAATTCCCTTTTCTAAATCTGTTGCATTTCTATACACCAATAATGAAGAAGCAGAAATAGAAATTAAGGAATCAATCCCATTTACAATTGCACCAAAACAGTAAGTTACCTAGGAGTAAATCTAACCAAAGAGATGAAAGACCTGTACTCTGAAAACTATAAAGCACTGATGAAAGAAATTGAAGAGGACACAAAGAAATGGAAAATCATTCCGTGTTCATGGATTGGAAGAACAAACATTGTTAAGATGTCTCTATTATCCAAAGCAATCTACACATTTAATGCAATCCCTATCAAAATACCAACAGCAGGGGCGCCTGGGTGGCTCAGTTGGTTAAGCAACTGCCTTCGGCTCAGGTCATGATCCTGTAGTCCCTGGATCGAGTCCCGTATCGGGCTCCCTGCTCAGCAGGGAGTCTGCTTCACCCTCTGACCCTCCCCCTCTCATGTGCTCTCTGTCTCTCATTCTCTCTCTCTCAAATAAATAAATAAAATCTTTAAAAAAAAATACCAACAGCAGTTTTAACAGAGCTAGAAGAAACAATCCTAAACTTTATATGGAACACAAAAGACCCCAAATAGCCAAAGAAATCTTGAAAAAGAGGAGTAAAGGTGGAGGCATCACAATTCTGGACTTCAAGTTATATTACAAAGCTATAGGGGTCAAGATAGTATGGTACTAGCACAAAAACAGACATAGATCAATGGAACATAATAGAATTGGACCCACAACTCTTATGGTCAACTAATCTTTCACAAAGCAGGAAAGAATATCCAAGGGAAAAAAGAGTTTTTTCAACAAATTGTGTTAAGAAAACTAGACAGCAATATGCAGAAGAATGAAACTGGACCACTTTCTTACACCATACACAAAAATAAATTCAAAATGGATTAAAGACCTAAATGTGAGACAGGAAACCATTAAAATCCTAGAGGAGAGCACAGGCAGGAACCACTTTGGCATCAGCTGTCACAACTTCTTACTAGATATGTCTCCTAAGCAAGGGAAACAAAACCAAAAATGAACTATTGGGATATCATCAAGATAAAAAGCTTCTGCACAGCAAAGGAAACAATCAACAAAACTAAAAGGTAGCCTATAGAATGGGAGAAGATATTTGTGAATGACATATCTGATGAAGGGTTAGTATCTAAAATCTAGGAAGATCTTATTAAACTCAACACCCCAAAAACCAATAATCCAATTAAAAATGTCCAGAAGACATGAATGGACATTTTTCCAAAGAATACATGCAGATGGCCAATAGACTCATGAGAAGATGCTCAACTCACTCATCATCAGGGAAATACAAATCAAAACTACAATGTGATATCACTTCACACCTGTCAGAATGGCTAAAATCAACAACACTAGAAACAACAGATGTTGGAGAAGATGTGGAGAAAGAGGAACATTCCTGCACTGTTGGTGGGAATGCAAACTGGTGTAGCCACTCTGGAAAACAGTATGGAAGTTCCTCAAAAATTTAAAAATAGAACTACCCTAGGATCCAGCAATTGCACTATTAGGTATTTACTCAAAGAATACAAAAGTACTAATTCAAAGGGATACATGCCCCCAATGCTTATAGCCGCAACATCTACAATAGCCAAATAATGATGGCTGTATCTACAACATATCTACAATAGCCAAATAGTGGTCAATTAATTGATGGATAAAGAAGAAATACACACACACATGCACACACACACACAGGAATATTACTCAGCCATAAAAAGAATGAAATCTTGCTATTTGCTAATGTGGATGGAGCTAGAGTGTATTATGCTAAGCGAAATAAGTCAGAGAAAGACAAATACCATATGATTTGACTCATGTATGGAATTTAAGAAACAAATGAGCAGAGGGGAGAAAAAGAGAGAGAGGGGCAAACCAAGAAATAGACTCTTAACTATAGGAACAGACTGATGGTTAGCAGAGGGGAGGTTGGAGGAGGAATGAGTTAAATTGGTGATGGAGATTAAGGAGTGCACTTGTGATGAGCACAGGGTGTTATACTGTATATAACAGTGTATTGTCGTATATTGTAGACTTGAAAGGAATATTACACTGTATGTTAACTAGCTGGAATTTAAATAAAAACTTATAAAGAATAATTTGTGTATTTGTGACACACAAGGTACTGATGAGAAGCAGTGTTCTCTGTGATGAGCAGGAAGTGGGCACGAGACCACGTAGCAACCTTCCCTGGCCAACTTCTCACTCAGTCTCAGAGTTCCCAGGTCTGCCCTTTCTAGCTGTGGTCTGTCCCTGTGATGAAAACAAACCTGATGCTGACACCAATTCATACATGTGGGTTTTTCCTACATATCAAGCAATTCTGTGGTACCAGCTGGGTGTCCTATAATTTAACTCAATTCTGACACTCCCTGGAGACTATGTCAGATCTCACAGGTTAAGGCTCAGTTCTACAAGACTTCCTCACTTCTGATGCCAACTACAAGTCCATGCTGTCACCTGTTCTTCTGACTGATCTGCTATAAATCAGAGGTTCCCGTAATCACCTTTTCAGGTTCAATTAATTTGCTAGAGCATCTCACAGAACTCAGGAAACAATTTGCTTACTGTTTACCAGTTTATTATAAAACAATATGATAAAAGATACAGGTGAACAGCCAGATAGAAGAGATGCATGAGCAAGGAATGTGGGAAGGGGTGCAGAGCTTCTGTGCCCTCTCTGAGCATACCACTCTTACAGCACCTCTGTGTGTTCACCAATCCAGAAGTTCTCTGAACCCCCTACTATTGGGATTTTATGGAGGCTTCATCACATAGGCATGATCAATTATTAACTTGATTTCCAGCCCCTCTGCACTCTCTAGAGAATGAAAGGTGAGGCTGAAAACTCTTAAGTTTCTAGTCATGGTTTGGTCTTTCTGCTGACTAAACTGCATCTAGGAGCCCACCCAGAGTGGCTTCATAAGAACAAAAGATACTCCTGTCACCCAGAAAATTAAAAAGGATGTAGTATCCTATGTCAGGAAAAACTGGGTTCAGAGATGCTCCTAGTGCTCTTATCACTTGGGAAATTACAAGAGTTTGAGGAGTCCTATGCTGGGAACTGGGGTCAAAGACTAAGTACTAGAACAAAAGATCCTCCTAGCACCCCCGCAGACCAGGGTTTTTAGGAGCCCTGTGTTAGGAAGAAGGGGCACAGACATATCTGTCTTACTATTTTACAAAGCCCATGGACAAAACAAACAAACATCAGGCTGTTGAGAAACCTCTAGAAGCCCAGTTACTAGTGAGCACCAGCTCCCTCTCAGCTCTTGCAGAGATCCACGAGACAAGCCACCCAGTGCTGGAGTTCCCAGTGTCCAGGCCTTCTTTCCCCAAGGCAGTACTCCTTGAGCTGCAAGGTGCACGTAAGCATCCATGTGATGCCTGCCTCCTATTCCTCAACAGCATACACGACAATGGGAAAAAGGCCGGGCTGTATAAAGAAAACCTGCTGCTGCGAGGATGTACCATCAGAAACACAGAAGCTGTTGTCGGCATCGTCATCTATGCAGGTAGGCATGGCTGTGGCATGTGCGGTCCGAGACACTGCTGGCTTGCCACCCATGCTGTGTGTCCTTGAATGTTGCTCCTTGCTCTTTATTTTTTTCTTTTCTGATTATAAAAGTAGCACAAAGACATTGTAAAAATTTAGAAAACCCAGAAGACAGAAAGAAGCAAAATTTCTAATAGCTCAACCAAAGTGTTCTCTCTTAGCATTTTAGCTTATTTCTTTCCATTGTTTCTCCATGGTGGTTATGTATTTGGGATTCATTTCACACCCTGCAGTTTTGACTGAGCTTATCCTGTAAGTATGATTGGATGGCAGCACTGTCCTTCAGTCCATGAGTCAGGGCGCCGTCGCTCCACTGTTGGGCACCGATTTACCGCATCCCTCACGCTCCCCGTACAGGACATGAAACCAAGGCTCTGCTGAACAACAGCGGGCCCCGTTACAAGCGCAGCCAGCTTGAGAGGCAGATGAACTGCGATGTGCTCTGGTGTGTCCTCCTCCTCGTTTTTATGTCTCTGTTTTCTGCAGTTGGTAAGTCTCCTTTGTGGGTCACAAATAAGAGGGCACTGCCGGACAGCCTCCAGGTGAGCCCAGTGGGCTGCCGACGACTCATTCTGACCCAGCACTCTAAAGTTAAAACACACATTTGTCATCCACTTAGACTCAAGAGCTGCTTGCATCCACACAGGCCATGTTAGAGATGCCTAGATGAATGTTAATGTTATTTTTCAAATTTGCAACTTCTTGGATGGAAGAATGGTTTAATCACACTGGTTATAATGATTCCAGTAGAAGAAGTATTAGTAACCTGGTGATAAACTGAGAATAATTTAGCAGGAGAAGCACAAATGCTCCCCATGAGAACTCCATGAGGAAAGGAAAAAAAAAGCCTTTGGGTCTTAAGAAGAACCGAAGCAGTTAGATTGCACATGGGCTGTGGTGCTATCCAGCCTCTGATGGCCTCCAGACCTGGTATGCTGCCTTGGGAGTGCCTTGCAGGGCACTGTATTTCACCTCTGGGTAAATGATCTTCACCATATCCCCCGCCCAGCTACCATTGTGAAGCAGATGAGTGTGATGTCTTGGAGCTCAGTGGTGAAAGACATAGGTGTACGGGACACGGAAAGGGCTTCTGTTATCAGGTGTGGGACCCAGCTGATGAAAAACTGTGCAATGCCATTGCCTTCTGAGAGTCCATGACATGTGCAATTTGAATCTGTAGCAAGGGTCAATAATGGGCAATATCCGGGGCCTACTGATGAGACTGGTGTTTTGTGAGGCACACACTGGGAAATTCCTCTTTGGGGATTTTCTCATTGGTAGCTGCCAGCACATATCCAATTTCTGCCTCATGACCAGTGTGCTTTTCAGTGCCAATAATGGGAAATGCCTGATGTGAGGAAGAATCCAAGAACCGGTGCCTTCCAGCAGTCTGACTGTGGTGCCAACCGTACCTGCCGTGCGCTTTTGCTTTCTTACATGCAAGGCAGGCTAATGAGACCCAATGTGCCTGTGTCCATAGTCTTACAGTTTTGCTTTAATTTGCACTTGCAGTGTCTTATTTTCCCATTGGGTGAATGATGTTTCTTTTTGAATATTGGTGTAGGACACGGACTGTGGGTACGGCGGTATCAAGAGAAGAAATCATTATTTGATGTCCCTGAGTCTGATGGCAGCTCTTTATCCCCAGTCACAGCTGCAGTTTACTCGTTTTTGACAATGATAATAGTTCTGCAGGTAACAGTCCTAAGTACCATATGATAATTGCTTTACTTTTCTGGTAAGAACTTAAAGTCATCACACTCTGCTAAGAAGGTCCTATAAATTCTGCATCTGGGAGGACCAGAGATACACCTGCCTAATGTGCTGCTTCTTACTTTTCCACCTAATTTATCTATAGGGTCTTTTTTGGGTGCTTTTCAAGTTAACATTCTCCTTTGCTGTTCCTAAGATTCTTAGGCCTTACGGGGTTGGTTTTTGGATCATTGTGTGTGTTTTATTTTTCCATTCCATTACTTCTTTAAAAAAAAAGCCCTAAATTTTATTTTGGGATAATTTTAAGATTTATAGACAAGTTACAAAAATTAGTGCAGAGAGTTCCCATATGTCCCTTACCCAGAGTCCCCTAACGTGAACATATTATATTACTATGCTACATTGTCGAAACCAAGAAACCAACTTTGGTACTTTGCCATAAATTCTAGATGTCATTTGGATTCTACTAGTCTTTGCACTGATGTGCTCTATCTGTAACAGGATTCAATTCCAGATATCACAATTGCATTTTGCAGCATTGGTTTTTATTATTTTTATCACTGTTAGCATTATTAGTTCACATGCTCATGAGAAATTCCCTATCACTAACTGAGAACCTTTGCCCAAAAGGCTTGTTCAAGAGTAGAGAAGGGTCAGTGAGTGTCATGTTAGGAAGACAAAGTGCACAGAGGACCTCTGCTTGGCCTTTGCCTATGAGGGGAGCTCTACTGCCTTTATCACATGTGTTTCATACAGCAGGAACTTTCTAAATTAGTCTTTTTTATGAGTGCACATTTGGTTCTCGCTTTGTACTAGTAGTAGTTCTATAGTAGGCATGGTACTGTAGTAGGTGTTGCATTAACATTATGTTACCAGGAGAAGCCAGTTAGTCTGTCTGGATATGATATTCTGAGCCCATGAACATCAGTTCAATACTGTCATTCAAAAAAAAATTTAAACATTGATGTCATGAAGATTATTCTTAAATTGTCAAAGTGTAACTGTGAATATTCTTCTCAAAGCCTTCTTCCCTTTGCTCTGTATCATACAAGATCCCAGAAATTGTCCTTCAACACAACCAGCCTCTGGAAAGACTGTCTCTTCCGGACTGTGGGGTTGTGTCCATGGGATGGGCAGCTCTTGTTGCCGGGAGCCCTGGGAGAGCCTGGGGGCCGAGTGCCGCTGTGGTGCGAGGTGACTTTGCTTATGAGGACTCTGACTGTGCCATGTGTTTTTTTTTTTTCTCTCTCTCTCCTCTTTCCTTTCCTAGCTTCTCTCAAGCACAACTTAGTAATACGAAAATGCTTGCTTCTATCCAAGCCATGGTTACCATTCTTCCAGACACGATAGTGGATTTATGCTCCGCAGTGACACCATAGGCTGTCCTAGTTTAAACTCTTTGCCAATATCCTAATACTTTTCCAATACTGACTCTAAACCAACCTGGTTAAGCTCTTAAAGGTACAGTATAGTCCCTACTTACTTGTGGTTGTAGTCATTTGTCATTTCAATAGTTTGGACTACTGCTGCTCCCTGGTCCTCATAATTGTTCATGTGTATGCCTTATGTCTTCTAGGTTTTAATCCCAATTTCCTTATATGTTTCCATTGAAATTGTTAAAGTATGCCAAGTGTACTTCATTCATCAGGATGTAGAGTTGTATGACGAAGAAACGGACTCGCAGCTGCAGTGTCGAGCTCTGAACATCACGGAAGACTTAGGGCAGATACAGTATATCTTCTCAGATAAAACAGGAACTTTAACTGAAAATAAGATGGTTTTCCGAAGATGCACTGTGTCTGGCATAGAATATTCCCATGATGCAAATGGTGAGTCTGGGGATGGGGACTCCCAGTCTGGGCTGGACAGAGAGCCTCTGTGTCAAAGCTGCATGCACACGTGCGTGCACACACAAACACACATGCACACATACACATACACATACAAGCTTCAGGGATTGCTGATTTTTGAGAGAGAATAAAACATAGAAAGGCTGTTAGAGCAACTCAGGAGACTGAAGCAGGGCAGCATTTATAGAAGCAAATATAGAATTCCATGTTGCTGACAGTGCCCTGTTCACTGCAGTATCTCAGTGTGGTGGGCATCAACTTAAACACTCATTTTCTGCCAGACAAGAGAACCAAGAAGGGCATTCTTGAGGAAGTCACTTCTGAGGCACCCAGTCTCTTTGCTGCACCAAAAAATGAAGAGATGCTTTTGTTGTCACCCATCAGCCTCCTTGTTATTAGCTGAAAATTCTCAGAAGGGCATTGGGCAATTCATGCTGTATTTTTTCCCTTAGAAAATGATGTTCGTGGAAGCTGGAAAGAAATATCACTCCCATTTGAATTTTACAGGTGGTTGCTCCTCCTGCTCCTCTTTTCCTTATCTTTTGCTGCCTCTGTCCTCCCTGAACCCATACGGGAGCTCTCCACTTCATAAGCAGAGGGTATGACTGGAACCATCCACCCATCTGAGCCAGGAGAGGGCACCATGATAAGTTGTGCCAGCTCTGCAACCAGCACCCCTCTCCTTCCTGTAACAGCATCTGAGAACATGAAAGAAGTCTTGCCATGGGAACAGAAGCAAATAATAGAACAGGAGTCAATACGTCGGCTTCATTAGGAAGCTGTTCTTTTAGGGAGATATGGCGGGAAAGATCTGTTAGAGGCATGGGATTTTTGCGAGTTTCATGAAACCAAGAATTACGATATCCACGAAGGCCCTTTATGTAAAATTAAAGTAATCATATTAAATAGAAGACATAGGAACTTATCCACTATGTTTATTGCTTTATTTGCCTCCCAAAATAAATGGTCAGTCACTGTCCACCTGTCCCCCTTGCACTCTCACCTTCCATAACTCCTCAGCCTTGTGCAGAAGAGCTCATTTGCCTGAAAGCAGAGCTTAGCCTAATTGTAAAGGAGCCAGAGACCCAGGTCTGAAGTTGGGTCAGAAGCAGCCTTTGAAAGCTGGACCTGAGACTCCATGGGCAGAATCCCAGCTAAGATTACAGAAAAATTTTGACAGTTGTCAGATGCTTATCATAAAATCAAAGGATTGCATTGCCTCTAGAAGACACAGGAAAGCATTTCTGGTGAAGACCAAAGCAAGCAAGCCTCGCTGCTGCATGTTTGAAAGAAATGCTGTGATCAGTCATTGACATGCACCTGGGGCCAAGAGCGATGTCAGCTGTTATTACCCATGACCTGACCTCTCAGATCGCATTAGTAAAATGAATTCAGTTGACTTTGGCTTTGTGTGATGAACCCAGTTCACATGGAGACTGTGGGTTTGGCCATTTCTGACCTTACGTCCCAGTTACGTTGTGTGCCCCAAATGAGGCATCACCTACCTGCTTCCTGCCTTCCCTCGACACCGAGGGCATCGCTCAGGCCACTGCTGGTCAGAAACTGCTGCATCATTGTAGACCACAGACACATCAGCAGTGGTCTGAGGGATTGCTGTGTTTAGGCTAAAATCCAACTACTGCTGTAGGAGAGTGGGATAGGCTGGTGTATCCTTCGAGAGGCTGACACCAAGCTCCTAATGCACAAGCCCAGAAGCTTGACAGCACTGTGTCTGGGCTTTGTTCTTCCTTGCCGTTCATTCACCACCAAACTGGGACTTCCATCAGCCAGGAGTGGGTGGGACGGGCAGAGGAGATTTGCTTCTGGGGTGAGGAACTCCCTGAGTTGGATCCTGGTGTTGGCAGTTCCTTGGCCTTGTGACCATGGGTGACTTATCTTTCCTTATCTCTGTTTTTCTCATCCCTAAAGAAAAGTCTTCCTAATAAAAGATGCTGAATATAAGGCCTAGGTCACAGGACAGACCAATGCCACAGGCATGCCCAGATTGGAGGGCCCTTCTTAGCCCCTCAGGCAGGCCACCTTGTGTTAAGATACCTTGTGCTCACACCCAGCACTGGACCTGCCCTGGAAGTTCTTAGTAATTGCTTGTTTTGAATGACTAATCTTCATGAATAGTCTCCTTGCTCGTCCGTGATGAAACAAGCTGAACTAACTGGGGAAAGCCAGAAAAATGTGTTCAGAGCCATCCATTAGCAAGAAGCAGTGCAGATGTACCTCGTAATTCACTGAGTGGCCATGTAGCCACAAGGATTTTTGCTGGGCAGTGCCCCCTTGAGGGCTCAAGCATAGCCATGCAGTCAAGGTCGTCTTCAGTGGAGCTTTACCTGCTGGGTCTATATCCTGGTGGCATTTGTCCACCCTGTGCAACCCACAAGGACTGTTAGCCTCCCTGTTGGGTAGACCTTCATCCATACAGTGTAAATGCAGATAGTACCCACCACCTACCTGGCCTTGAACAAGGATTCCCCATGGTAAAGTACCATAACACAGCCTGAGAACCATTATTTCTGTGTGATTGCAGGGCAGACGTTCAACATGTGATCTGTCCTGACAGCCCCAGTGAGCCAGGTGGTTCCATAACCCCAGGTTAAAGGGCAAATCCTGGAGCCAGGTTACTCTGTGGGCTAGGCCTTCACTGTTTTCCCTTCTTTTGCCCCTGTTGTCTGCTGCCCAAACCCCATTCATCACACCTAGGGTCCACCTGAATGGAGGGGGCTGTATGTGAATCTATCTGTCCCCTCCTTACTTGTTTGTGGACTGTGATGGCCACTGTGCCAAAATGCACTGGACCTGAGCTTTGGCATCACCTTGACCTGGACGCCATCTCCACCCTTTTGAGTCCTATGTACTTAGCAAGCTCCTCACGTCCTCTGTGACTCAGTGTGCTCATTTGTGCTTGGGGTTGAGAATGTCAGCCTCACCGGGTTGACTGTAGGTCCAGATAAAATGAGAGCGGCCTCCATCTCTCAGTGGAAACTCATTAAATGTGGCCTTGCCTTTAAGAAAGCGAGGGTGGCGAGTGCTCTGAATCAGTTTCGTTTTCCTAGCCTCCCTGTGACGTGTCACCCCATGTCCCTCTACCCACAGCCCAGCGTCTGGCCAGGTACCAGGAAGCAGACTCCGAAGAGGAAGAGGCAGTGCCCAGAGGGGGATCGCTGCCCCAGCGCGGCAGCATTGGGAGCCACCAGAGCTTTCGCGTCGTGCACAGGACCCAGAGCACCAAGTCACACCGGCGCACAGGCAGCCGGGCCGAGGCCAAGCGGGCCAGCATGCTGTCCAAGCACACGGCCTTCAGCAGCCCCATGGTGAGTCGCACTCAAAGGACGGCAGCTGCCCATGCTGGGGCAGCATCACCTTTCCTGGTCCTGCTACTTCCCTTCATTCCTCTGAAGTATCTGCACATAACAATACAAATGAGCTGTTGCTGGGGGTTTAGCTCTGCTCAGTTAACAGAACTTTTGTGGCCAACACCTTCTCCCCACACCCATGTATCTTTCCTAAAACGCTGACACGGCCCCTTTGCCTGGGCCTCTAAGGATGGGGGATTGCCGGTGAACTCTCCATATGGGCGCTGGAGAGGAAGTCTGTCCTGCCAGATGAAATGAATAAAACATCAGGGCAGGATGACAACTGTGAAAAAGCAAAGCCAAGCGGGGGGGGGGGGGGGGGGGGGAGGAGTTTTAATTAGATGAGCCCAAATCCAATAAACTTCTTTCTCCCTTGGGGCTCCTGGGTGGCTCAGTCGTTAAGCGTCTGCCTTCGGCTTGGGTCATGATCCCAGGACCCTGGGATTGAGCCCCACATCAGGCTCCCTGCTCAGCGGGAAGCCTGCTTCTCCCTCTCCCACTCCCCCTGCTTGTGTTCCCTCTCTCGCTGTCTCTCACTGTCAAATAAATAAATAAAATCTTAAAAAAAAAAAAAAACCTTCTTTCTCCCTTGCCTTGACAGCTGCCCAAACATTTATGGACCATTCTGGTCAGGCAGGGAAATTTCCAGAAGTGAGTGAGTGAGGATCTCTAAAAACCTTTCACTTCTAAAATGTTTTAAGAGCAGAGAGGGAGAATCCATTTTGGTCCCTCTGTGGTGGCCTCATTCTCTTCTGTCCTTAGAAACCCGTACAGAGGCTGCCATTACATGGTGGTCGCTGATTGGTGGGTTTATGCAGGGGTACCTGGGAGGAGGGCCCTCGTGCTTGACAGGAGGGGGACTGTGTTGGAGCAAACTTTCCTGGAATCGATTTAGCAATATGGGTCCAGAGTATTTGAAATATTCAAACTTCCTGACCTAGGAATTTAGGGATTCAGCCAAAGTTTTCTATGTATAGCAGTTTGTCAGTGAAAAAAAAATGTATTCAGTGATAAAAGAATGGCCAAATGAATCATAGTGTGTCTGTTTTGAGGTTGTTAAAAGTCTGGAAAAGTTCAGACTGCAGTTGACCATGGAACAGCACAGGTCTGAACTGTGCAGGGCAACTTACACGCAGATTTTTAAAAATAAATACAGTACTGTATTTTCTTTATGACTTTCATAATAATATTTTCTTTTTTAAAAATTTTTTAAAGACTTTATTTATTTTGAGAGAGAGGGAGAGAGCAAGAGAGAGAGCATGAATGGGGAAGAGGGGCAGAGGGGGAGAGACAAAGACCACAAGCAGGGGGATGGGGAGAGGGAGAAGCAGGTTCCCTGCCGAGCAGGGAGCCTGACATGGGGCTCAATCCCAGGACCCCGGGATCATGACCTGAGCCGAAGGCAGACGCTTAGCCAACCAAGCCACCCAGGCGCCCCTTAATAATAATATTTTCTTTTCTCTAGCTTACATAATTGTAAGAATATAGTATATAATACATACAACAAACAAAATATATTATTAGTCAACTGTTTATGTTATCGGTAAGGCTTCCAGTCAGTAGTAGACTAATTTTAGGAGTGTCAAAAGTTATATAGACTTTTCACCTGCACAGAGATCAGCATCCCAATCCCTGCATTGTTCAAGGATCAGCTGTATATAGTGTTTTGGGGAGAATGGACACTGCCAATTTATGTATAAATTTTTTTATTGAGATATGATTGACATATAACATTGTGTAAATTTAAGGTGGGAATGCAAATTAAAAGTATAATGAGACAATGACTTCACACCTCTTAGAATGGCTGTCATCAAAAAGCCAAGAGATAAGAAGTGTTGGCGAGGATGTGGGGAAAAGGGAACCTCATGCACTGTTGGTGGGAATGCAAACTGGTGCAGCCACTGTGGGAAACAGCATGGAGGTTCCTCAGAAACTTAAAACATAGAATTACTATATGATCCAGCAACTCCACTTCTGGGTTTATGTCAAAAGGAAATGTATAAAATATTTGATGATGTAAAATGTAAATGTACAGAAAAAAGACTGGAAGGAAACAAAGAAGTGTGTGTTTCAAAAAGTATGTATTACTGTGAGGTGATGTGATAAAGATCTGTTAAATTTTCCCTCTGTCTTTTTCAAATTTCTCTGAGTCAGATATGTTATAATAACGTATATTCTTAGCTGTATTATTTTATAATGAGAACGTGTGTTATATATAAGAACATATGCATTTCATTCCATATGTAAGTCATATATTCTTGTACCAATTATACATTATTCATCACTATAAAATGGCATATGTATGGGAGTCAGATGAAGGTGTCTTTAGAGCTTATACTGAAATCAGGGTGCCTTAAACAGTCAAGCACTAAGACGCTTTCACTGGGTTATACTCACCCCTCAGTCTCTGTCTTCTTCCAGGAGAAAGACATCACACCCGATCCAAAGCTGTTGGAGAAGGTGAGTGAATGTGACAGGTGCCTGGCCACCGCAAGGCCCCAGGAACGCCCACTGGCCCACCTTTCACCAGAGCTCTCTGACGTGTTCGACTTCTTCATCGCACTCACCATCTGCAACACAGTAGTAGTCACATCCCCGGATCAGCCACGACAAAAGGCAAGCTCTGGGGTATCCCTGTGAAGCTGACGCCTTTGACCTTCAGCATGGTCCCAGTGTTGTCCGTCTAACCTTCCCAGGAGGACTGCTCAGCACTACCTCTCAGGTTTAAGGGGATATAGTAGGGGGCTTTGTGGAGGGCAAGCCAGCTCATTGATTCTGTGGTGCCGTCCCCAGGCTACCGTGGACAGGTAAGGGGATTGGGGCCAAAGGGAGAGGAAAAACTTCTGAGCCCATGATGGATGGGGCATATAATAGCCTGGACTGGAATGGGGCTACCCTGCACAATCTACACAGAGCTTCAGGGTTCCAGATTCTCACAAGAGAGTGGACAGGACAGGCTTGGGGCCCAGACAAATCGCCTGGACTTGAATCTTGACTTTACCAACGGGCTGAGTGGCTTTGGACAAGCCATTCCCCTCCTGTCCCTTAGGGATCTTATCTGTGACATGGGGGCAGTGGTGAGGTTTTAGAGGAAGGGCTCAGAGCACACAATAAATGTATTTGATGTTAAAGGGGCTTTAACATTGTCTTTAAAGGAGAAGTGGTCAAAAATCAATCTGAGGTTACTTAAGATGGTGGAAACATAGCAATACCCAAGTTGGTTTTTGCTTGGGTAATTATAAGGTTCTCTCTGAAGAGAGTAAAGTTTCATGTGCAGACAGGTCCTTTATAACCCCAGTGGTTCTCAGGAAGTCCTCTAGGTAAGCCGGGAAGTGTGTGTGTAGGAGGTACACCTAAGGAGGGATGGGCATAATGCAGCTGAGCAACTTTAAATGGATAAAAACGAAGGTGCTCTAGAACTAGATGCATGCCATAGACCTGCCCCTCAACTCCCCACTCTCCCAGACCTCTTTCCCTCCTCCTGAGTCAACCCTTCTAGCAGGTTCCACTGATGGAGCCATTGGTGTGTCATGTGGGGTAAACCAGGGTCTCTGCTCTCTTCACAGCAGCATACCTGGCAGTAATGCAGCCCCCCCCCCATGCTCCTGCTCCTGCTCCTGCCACACTGGCGTGCAGAAGCCCCAGGGGGCCTGGTGGGTCCAGAGTGGACAAGGTCCGCACCACCCAGGGACTGCAGGATTGCACCGTCTGCCTTAGGCGAGGGCTGCTTCCTGGTGCAGCTCACCTCTTAACTGCCTCAGCATCCTTCATCTGGCCTTCGGATTCTTCCACCGCTCTATATTCAGTCCTGCTGGCATGCATCCCTGGAGAAGTGTCTGGTTTCTAGTTAGACCTGTCTGAGACCCAGGCATTGCTGCAACTACTGAATAAGTGAGAGAGACCCCAACATAACTGAGGCATGTGGTGATGGTCACATAGGCAGTGTGTTCCACACAGGGAGCAGAATATTTAATCCCCCACCCTCAGACTGCAGATGAGTAGGTCTCTGGATGCACTCCTCTTTCCACATACTAGTGAGTGCGATCTTTCAGGGTATTTGGAGCCAGTAGGCACTCCAGTGTGGCTGCTTGAATCCCCCCCTTGAATGTGTAGCACATTTAAAGTCATTATAGGAACAAAAAAGCACCTTTATCAAAATTGGTCCCATGTGCCCTGCTTTACCAAATACCTGACTTTTCTGCAGGCTATTATGTAATTTACAACTTTAGTCACATGGGGAAAACTATGAAAATTTAAGGCTAACTATAATTCAATGTTTTGCTTGTTGCAACATTTGCTCTAAATCTGTTTTCTAGCAGAAAGTTAAAATAGGCATATTATACTAGCATTAGTGAACAGTACTCATTTAAATAAAGTATTGCTGTTGCTGCATCATTGAGCTTTTTGGGACTTTAGCAAATGTATTTAACTGTTATTTTGTTGTTTTCACTTCTTGTTAGAAGATATGCTATTTATTGTGACTTTAAAAAAATGTGCTAAATGATTTGAATCCTGAATTTGTCCAAGCATTTAATTTGTTTAGAAAAGTTTTTGGGTCTGGGAGTGTTATTTAAATTTTATATGGACATAATTCAAAGGACTGTATAAACTGGTCTTTTGTAAATGCATTTTGTAATGCGGGGGAGGGATTTGTGCCAGGTGATAGTGACAGGCATGTTCTTCTGAACCTTTTCTGCAAAGCAGTGGGACATTGCAGTGCAGGGAGAGCTAGCAGAGGGGATAGTCTCAAAGCCTGCAGGTACCACTAGCCACACACTCCCTGAGTCAGTCCAGGGCCTCCATGTGGCTACCCAGGCGATCACATTCTAAAAGAATGTATGTTGCTAATTTTTGCTTAAGTGAAATGGAAGAGGCCAAAGGATGGTCTCAAGGAAGAAATGCTGGCTCTGGTTGTGTGCCCCAAAATCTGGGAAATGGGAACTCTGTGCTCTGAGCCCTCACGGGGGAAGTGGGGGAGTGCTCTGTGGCAGTGTGGGTGAGGCCTTTGGATATACCTCACATGTCTTCTGACTGCTTCTCTTGCAGGTGAGAGTGAGATTTGAGGTGAAGTCCCCCGTGAAGACGATAGAAGACTTCCTACGGAGGTTCTCACCCAGCCGCCTGACCTCAGGCTGCAGCAGCATCGGGAGCCTGACCGCCAACAAAGCCACCCACAAGTCAGGGTCCAACTTTCTGTCCACCCTATCCAATGACAGCACACTGTTCAAGCTGGAGGAGAGGCTAGGCCAGCCAGCCGCGGCCATCGCCAGCAATGGCTATAGCAGTGGGGCTGCCAGCTGGGGCCCAGAGCACACTGCCCAGGAGCAGAAGCTGCAGCGGGAGCAGGAACAGGAGCTGCGCTATGAGGCAGAGAGCCCCGACGAGGCGGCGCTTGTGTATGCTGCGCGGGCCTACAACTGCGCGCTGGTGGACCGGCTGCACGACCAGGTGTCCGTGGAGCTGCCCCACCTGGGCAGGCTCACCTTCGAGCTCCTGCACACACTGGGCTTCGACTCTATCCGCAAGAGGATGTCAGTGGTGATCCGGCATCCACTCACCGATGAGATCAATGTCTACACCAAAGGAGCCGACTCAGTGGTCATGGACCTCTTGCTGCCTTGCTCCTCAGGTATCCAGCTCCCCTCCACTGGGCAGCACCCCAAGCTCCAGGTGGAAGTCCCAATAAATTAGCCCCTTCCCTCAGTCCCTTCCCGTTGGATTTCATTAAGCCTTTTCTAAAGCAGTGCCCATCAGAGGTTTGCCTCTCTGGATCACCCGTTCCTCCTTTGAGGGGTTTGGACTAGAATGCACTGTGGGGGCTGGAGGATGGAGGGCTTCAGTGCCTGAACTCACCTTAGAACAGTGGGGTTGAAGGTCACTTGGGGGGGAGGCCTAGCATCATTTTAAATCTGGACAATGAAGGTTAAGAACTTTTAGACTAGAAGTTCCAGAATGTTCCTTCCTGCTCTGTGATTGCCTGGACTGTGTCTTCTATGGAGGTTCTTACCTAGCTGCCTGACCTCAGGTCATGGTTTGTAGCCCAATTGTGGAGCTGCCTCAGGCCACAGTGAGAGCCTAGGTAGTGGAGGCTGCTGGCCTCTCAACCACCATCTGTCCCACCTTCGGACAGAGCGGCTCCATCTTAGTCTCTTTCATGTACTAGAGTTCCATATAACTTCTGTGTTTAAAAAAAGGAATTTGAAAACCACTGGTGAATGGCCTAGGTCCCCGTTCATAAACGTCGTCACCCCTCCTCTCTACTTGGAGGATGAAGGTGTGCCCATCTGACGTCCAGGGAGAGAGGTGGGATGGAGCTGAAGATGCTGCTGGCAGACAGAGGGGTACATGCTGTGGTTCTGCTGCCTGACCTGCAGTCTCCCTGTCTGTTGTATCCTGGAAACATCTCTAGGTATAACCTGCTGTGAAAGCCTGTCCACTGGGTGCAGCCTTTCCAGAGCTCTGGGATGGAGCTAGAGAATACTTTACTTCCCATAGTCCTTTAGCCACAATCTCAGTGCCTCTGAACAGGACTCCTGTCTCCCAGGTACAGCAGCACTCTGCTGTGGGGAGGTGCACTGGAGGATCTCTGCAGAGAAAATCCTTTTCCCATGGCAGAACTGTTGTAAACAGGTCTCCGAAAACAGTTTGGGTAGCTTTTCATGGCGATAACCTACCAGAGGGCAGGATTTGCCTTTCCACCCCAGGGGTTCTGTGCTAGAGTGGACATAGAATCCAATTCATAGGCTGATTTTGCATTCCAAGAGTCTTCTTCATTCCCCCATTCCATAGGTTGCCTTTTAGTTTTGTTGATTGTTTCCTTTGCTGTGCAGAAGCTTTTTATTTTGATGGAGCTTTTTATGCTTATGGTTCCCTTGCCTCAGGCGACCTGTCTAGAAAAAATGTGGCTATGGCCAATGTCAGAGAAATTACTGCCTATGTTATCCTCTAGGATTTTTATGGTTTCGGGTCTCACATTTAAGTCTTTCATCCATTTTGAGTTTATTTGTGTATATGGTATAAGATAGTGGTCCAGTTTCATTCTTCTGCATGTGGCTGTCCAATTTTCCCACCATTTATTGGGGAGAAAAAAAGACACTGGAAAAAAACACAAACACATGGAAGCTAAACAACATGATACTAAGCAACCAAAGGGTCAATAAAGCAATCAAAGAAGAAATCAGAAAGTATATGGAAACAGATGAAAATGAAAATACAGTGGTCCAAAACCTATGGGATGCAGCAAAGATGATCATAAGAGGGGAGTATATAGAGATACAGGCCTACCTCAAAAAAACAAGAGGCTCAAATAAACAATCTAACCTTACGCCTAAAGGAACTAGTAAAAGAAGAACAAACAAAGACCAAGAGGAGTAGAAGGAAGGAAATAGTAAAGATCACAGCAAAGGGCGCCTGGGTGGCTCAGTTGGTTAAGCAACTGCCTTCGGCTCAGGTCATGATCCTGGAGTCCCAGGATCGAGTCCCGCATCGAGTCTGCTTCTCCCTCTGACCCTCCCCCCTCTCATGTGCTCTCTCTCTCTCACTCTCTCTCTCAAATAAATAAAATAAAAAGAAAAGATCACAGCAAAAATAAATGACATAGAGACTAAAAAAAACAGTAGAAAAAAATCATTAAAACCATGAGCTGGTTCTTTGAAAAAGATAAACAAAATTGATAAGCCTTAGCCAGGCTCATCAAGAAACAAAAAAGGACCCAAATAAATAAAACCAGAAATAAGAAAGGAGAAGTAACAACTGACACCACAGAATACAAAGGATTATAGAGAATACTACAAAAAAATTATATGCCAACAAATTGGACAACCTAGAAGAAATAGATAAATTTCTAGCAACATACAATCTTCTTAAACTGAAGAAGTAGAAAGATTTTCTATAGAAAATAGAAAATTTTCTATTTCAAGAAGAAATAGAAAATCTGAACAGACTAATTAACAGTAATGAAATTGAATTGGTAATCAAAAAACTACCAAATAATAAAATCCAGGACCAGATGGATTCATAGGTGAATTCTGCCTAACATTCAAAGAAGAGTTAATACCTATTCTCCTCAAACTATTCTAAAAAAGAGAAGAGGAAAGAAAGCTTCCAAATACATTTTTGGAATGTAGGCTTTAGAATAAAGCCTTCTTTATTCTGAAATTTGATTTCGCATCTACGCAAAAGAAAAAAAGATATGGCAATTATCTGAGCAGATTTAATTATATTGTAAAAAAAAATCATCTTTGTCCTTTTCCACAGCCTTTCATTAAAGACAATTTAATGGACCACTGTATTTCGACATTACCACATACAGCGGGTCATGTATAAGGTAAAAGACCTACAGTAGCACTAGCAAACAAGGGTAGGACACGGTGATATGTAGGACCCACCGTACAGAGAGGGCCAGGGACCCTACTGAGCTGTGCAAAAGACATAAGAAAAACCAAGAAGGCTGCCATAGTCACCACACTTGTACTCTGCTCGCAGATCATTCTTTTAAATGAGGAAGAATTCTCAAATTTCTAGAGAAGGTGCAAACAAACAACTCCTACCACTCATAGTCAACTTCAAGGTCAGGATGGGGAGGGTGGGTTGCAAGAAGACTATGTGCAGGCTGGGGAGCCTCGTAGCCCCCTCCACCTAATCCTGCAGCCCCAGTGTAGCTTTGCTGTTGTACTCACCTCCTCCACAACTGCAGGTCTCTGGGAGGAAATTACTACCCATATATAGGTAACTATAGATGAGAAGAAGCAAAGCCTTCCATCTGTTCCACCATGAAAGAGACATGTAAAAGAACAACATTGCTATGGTTACACATTGCCCAAATCATGACAGTGAAAGGGGCAAATTAAAAATAAACAGTTTGTGTAGCTCTCTGCCTTACTCTAGGAATTTCCAAGCAGTGTGCAGGTCAGATAGGTTGATAGGGAAGAGGTACATGTAGACATCCAGCAACTTAAGATTCAGGAGGTTCCAAAACCCCATTGGATTCTCAAGAGAGGAGCTGTCACCTTGGGGGGTCACCTTGAAGTTATCCACTGGTGACACCCTGGCCTTATGTATAAATCATTCAGCTTTTACTTTGTGGGGTGGTTGGGTGTGGAGAGGAGCAGACTTGCAGAGCATTTACCTGTGCTGCAGAAGCAGAGCATTAGAGCTGAGCTGCTGTACCTGTGTGCTGGTGATAAAGTGAGGTAGGCACACAAGTATTATCCTCTGGATGACTTCAGATCTTTTTTTTTTTTAAGATTTTATTTATTTATTCATGAAAGACAGAGAGAGAGAGAGGCAGAGGGAGAAGCAGGCTCCCAAGGAGCAGGGAGCCCGACACGGGACTCAATCCCAGGACCCTGGGATCATGACCTGAGCCAAAGGCAGACGCTTAACCATCTGAGCCACCCAGGCGCCCAGATCTTTAAGATCTTTCTCCAAAGAGACCTAACACTTTAGCAAACAAGGCATGAGGAGGCTACGCTGATGGTGGATGTGACTGTGTTAGAGTGTGTTGTATTCTCAGGACATGATCATGTCTTGGAAGTTGTATGGAATCAGGTATAAAACAGGGGCTCCACCCCACCCCAGTACCTACAGACCTCTGTTCAAATCCCAGGTCTACGTTTATGGCTAGAATGACCCTGGATAAGTCACTTACTTTCTTTGCCTCTGTTTCCCATCTGCACAGAGGAAATCAGGATGCTGACCTCACAAGAAGCCCCTGTCCAAGCCCCTAGCACAGTGTCTGGTCTAAGTTTAGGTCCCTTTCCCTTCTCTCCGGTTCCTTCCCCTTAAGATTCACTTGCTTGAGGTTTGGTCCAGTTGCCACTTGGTGTGGTGTTTAAGACCCAAACACCCAGACAGCTCTACCCTCCTCCAAGAGTGAGGATGGAGAGTAGCCCACCATCTAGCATGGGCCTCACACTTTGCTGCTCTTCAGTAGATCAGTAAATGCATGCATGAACAAGGAAGAAAATTCACCTTTTTATTTTACCATCTGACTAAGATGAAAATCCTTATAGGAGAAATAAATTTGACTCAAGTATAGAAGAAATGGAAATACCACTTTGGGCATGTTAAGACCACATGTCAAAATCATGAGTAGGAGTGGATGTTTTCCTGTGAGGTCCTGAGCATTGCCAGCCATGTCCATCTGCCCTGCTCAGCCAGAGCTGGAAGAGGGTTCCTTTCAGTCCTGCTGCATCTTGAGGTCAGTGACATGGGAGTCATCTTTATAGACTGACAGGAGCTGTTACTGTCAGACACTGTGCGTGCCCCCCAATCCCAGATGTGGCTGCAGGGATCTTCTCTCTGGGCCCCTCAGGCCACCACCACCCGCCAGGAGGCTCTGGGTAGCATTGGTTCCACTTCCGCCCATGTTCCGCCCATGATGTTGCTCATTACCCAAGTAGCTGTGTTGCAGACACAGCATTCTTCCTACTACCATAGATAGGAAAGCCGCATGGGATCTGGGTGGCCTGTAGGATATCAGAAAGAAGAGGCTGATATTACATGAGTATCACTCAAAATGCAATGTGAATGGCTAGAATGCCTGCAGTCTGAGAAGAGTGCAGGAGAGCCGGGCTGACCACACAACTCTGGGGGTCCATGGGTTTGCTTTCTAGGACAGCACCCAATACACTCTTCTTAGGCGCCCCCAGCTACTCGGTGGTCTTCCGCTTTGAGCTTGAGTTCTTTCCACCATCCTGGCCCCTCCATTAGAATGTGGACATATCCCAGCATTCATAAAGAACCAATCCTACAAACCCTAACATTGGCTCTTCCCAGTGACTGTGCAGTCCCTGGTGCAGTTGGGAATCTACAAAGGAGAGGCTGAGTGAGAATCAGGAGCCAGGTTTTACCTCAAGTGGCAGAGGAGGTGTGTGTCTGCAAGTCTGGAGGAGTGAGGGGATGAGGCAGGGCAGTCACTGCTTCTCTCCCGGAAGGGCTGGGTGGGCTCAGTTCCAGGCTCTGCTGTGGTGGCCCCTTACAGAAACAGCTTCACATGGCTGCCCGTGGGATCACACACTCATCCAGGGCATCCAGCATGCCGAGCCGCCTGGCCTGCCTCCTCTAGCTTATCAGTTCTGTTTTGACCAAGTGTTCAGTCTCAGCTCCTGCATGCTGCTCCTTTGCTGGAGTGCAGTCTTCCCCTCCCCTCTCTGGAGAACCAAAGTACTTTATTATTATTATTCTAATTCCAAAGGCCCTCAGATACACATGTCTTTGCTCAAATAATAGTCAGCATCTGGAATATTGTTATTATCCCCTTCTGAGAATTGCTATCACAATATCAGGAGTAAATGGCAGTCAAAATTAAGATGTTGTATTTTGAGTGTCATCTTTTCAGGAAATTTAAATTCTTAAAGCAAAGCAATCTAGGGCAGTGTTTCCAATCTCTCTTTTTTTCAATTATTGCTCCCTTAAGGAGCCTTTTTAGACATTTTTTAATTATCTCCCCATGAGATTTTAATGCCACAGATATGCTGCATATTTGTTTATGTACTGTATATATATCTGTGCCTTATGCTATGCCTAAGTAGGTTTTAAATATATAATTAAAATTTTTTGCCCTGGAACCAATGTTTTAGGCCCTCAGGGTGCTATCTTCTTTGTGGAGAACACATGTCTAAGAGGTGAAAGTGTTTCTCCCAGGTCCAGTTTGCCCAGGACCTGACTCAGATAGTAGACAGCCTCTCTCAGAACAGAGGCCTCACCACTGGTTAGTAGAGTTGCCAGATTCAGCAAACAAAATATATTGAATGCCCAGTTAAATTTGAATTTCAGATAAAAAACATAATATTTTTAGGAAAAGCATGTTTTATGTGATATTTGCACATCTATATTCTATCTGGTAATACTACTGGTGTTCTGGGGATAGAAACTGCATTTTGTATTCAAGTACAATTTTTCACAAACTGGTAGAGTATGTACCTTCATTTACATCCACCTCCTAGGCGAAAGGATACCAGATCACTCCTAATAAAGCATTGTTTAGGGGTGCCTGGGTGGCTCAGTCAGTTAAGCATCTGCCTTTAGCTCAGGTCATGATCCCAGCTCCTGGGATTGAGTCTTGCATTGGGCTCCTTGCTCAACAGGGAGCCTGCTTCTCTCTCTGCCCCTCCCCCTGCTTGTGCTCTCCTCCCCTCTCTCTGACAAATAAATAAAATCTCTAATAAAGCTTTTTTTTATATGAGCTTCCCATTTCAACAAAGGTCATTAGTAACAGTCAAAAATACGATGTGGCTCTTTTTACAATAACAGCTTTTACTTTAAATTTTATACTGTTTATAAGTGATGAAATAGACCCGGGGTGAATCTAGTGGTGCGGAGGCTTCACACGTGTCTCTTATTGGAGGGCGTTGGAGTAAATCAAAGGGGAAGGATGCTCTTGTGACGTTCCTGCTTAATGCATTGCAACAAAATGCAATTCCAAATGCAGCCAGCTAGAGCACTGACCTCGAAACACAGTCATCATATACTTTCATCATGCACAAACCAAAGTGCATTATGCCTTTCCACTCATAATTGGCGGCCCACGAAAATGGTAGACTTAGGAAAGTGTGTGTCACCTTGTCATGGATGCCACAGTTGGGTGAGGCTCCGAGTCAGCACTTCTGAAGTTTGGTAATAACCAGTAAGTCTGCTCAGCTGTGTCTCCAGGAAACAGAACAGTGTGGGTGTCTGGAGAACTCTTACTAGTGGACTTAGCTCTTTCTTTTTAATTGTGGTTAAAAAAAGAAACCCACATGACCTAAAATTTACCATCTTAATAAGTGTACAGTTCAGGAGTGTTAAGTGGATCCACATGGCTGTGCAACAGGTCTCCAGAACTTTATCTTGCAAAACAAACTCTTTACCCATTGGAAAATTCCTCTTGTTAACTGGCCACCCAGCTCTTGGCAACCACTATTCTGCTTTAGTGTGTGACTACATTCAGACCTTAAAAACATGGCTGTTTTCATGGGAAGCTGGCCTGGAAGCTGGGTGAGAAGAGCTTCCGGGCTAGAACCTCTGGGGTGGTGCTGACCTCTCATCTGGGTACGCTACATACGTAGAGTTGTTTCAACACAGTGCAAAGCTACCTGAGGTTTGTGGAGTGGTCCGCGAGCCTCCAGACTCCATTCTTATCTGTGTTTGTGCTTCTACTCCAACCTAGATGATGCCAGAGGAAGGCATCAAAAGAAAATCAGAAGCAAGACTCAGAATTACCTCAACCTGTATGCCGTGGAAGGCCTGCGCACCTTGTGCATTGCCAAGAGGGTGAGTGGGTGCCACCTCCACAAGCATGGCTACTGACCGCTGCCCCCATGGTACTCGGTGCCTACGTGGCACTCACCAGTGTGTCTCACATAGGTTCTGAGTGAAGAAGAGTATGCCTGTTGGTTGCAAAGCCACTTAGAAGCAGAATCTTCCCTGGACAACCGTGAGGAGCTTCTTTTCCAGTCTGCCATTCGCCTGGAAACAAATTTACATCTGTTGGGTAATTATGCACATGAGCACATGTTGCACTGAGCAGTGTGGAATTTGCAGAGACAGTCCTGGATGGGGTGGTGACATGGCTCTAGTCATTGGCAGCTCTGCACCTGCCGGCTTGGTTAAGGAGTTGGCTAGCCTGATGCTAGCATGGCCCCCAGGCCCAGCCATCTTTGATTGAACATTCACACCATGGACCGTCTCTGTAGTATTCCACGTGCTGTCCCACCAGGCACCCAGTGACAACACCTGACTTGCCTCCCCCTAAACCCTGCTTTCCCACCAAAAATAGAGATGAGGAACGAGGCTTCTCAACAACTAAAGCCTGAAGGGACTCCCTCCACCTCCTACCCCTAAAACAAAAAGAAACTGTTGGATTCCAGAAATGGCTGCACTTTACATCTTATGAATGTTTCATAGATTCAGTTTGGATGAAAAGAAAACGAGCTCATTTTTACTAAAATGTGCTCATATTTTCTACTGTATTCATATTAGTATTTATAAGAATATTTATTTTAGTATTTTAAATATTTAGTATTAAGTTTGTATTAAATTAGCTGAGTCTTTATATATGTGCTCTCTGACCACACCAGGAACTGAGTGTGATCATGCTGTGTACACACACACACCCCATCCCATGGTGCTGAGAGTCAGATGGAATACCTGGGGCATGGAGAAACTAGAGTTCATCCCTCTCCATTTAATACAGAAAGGCTGTAATTCATTTGGTCTTGTTCCCTGGACAAAGGAGTTGGGCTACCTATATATCTATATATACATATCTAATATAATAATTAATATATTTAATAACATAACATATACACTTTATATAATATTCTTTTTTGCCTCTGGTGTCTTACAGGAGGGCATGCACTGCTCAAAAAAGCCCCTAGATCCAGATGCCCAGAGACATCATGAGCAGTATCCCTGGGGAGTGATTAAATGAAACACTTGGAAGAGAGCTGTGCTTTTTCTAACCTTCCAGGTTTTAATATACTGGGACTGTTCATATCTAGAGCATGCTTCTCCAGAAGGCACTGTTGACCAGACCCGGGGGATAGGCAGGGGTTCCTGCTGGTCCTTCTGGCCCATGGGCAGGTCCACTTCTCTATCTCTTCACTGCAGGGCACTCTCCCTGGAGAGCTCTGACTCTTTAATGGAGTAAAATTTGCCTCCCCAGTCCCTTCTTCTAGTGGGTGCTGGTCCCACCCTGTGGAGCAAGGAAGATGGAATCTCTTCCCTTTTCCAGAGGGTGAGACCTTAACTGTTTGAGGACTTGGCTGTGAGTCCCCACGCTGTCCACCTATATTTTTAGGCATCCCTACCTTTCCTTCTTTCAGAGTCTAGGAGCCTTAGCGGGGATGAACAGAGGGGGTGTTTATTGGAGCACTAAGTGAGGTCCAAGCACAGGGTCCAATACTCAGCAGCACGTGGTGATGAGTCTTATGTTACTGCCTCCACATCAGTTTACAGCCTGGCTGGCCTCTTCTATACAGACTCCCTCTGGTGGTTGGGCATCCATCACCTCCCTTGCCCCCATGCTGTATCTCTGTTAACATGTCCTGAATTTTTGACAGCCCTAGAATACCCTAAGTTCATATTGAACTTGAGATCAACTCACCTTCCTAGATCTTTTTCAGGGGATTTGCTTTCTAGCCTGGATTCTGTAATTTTTGTTTGGGCAACTATGTAAGCGTCTAAAAGTAAGGTTTTCTACTTATCCTCATTCCAGTTTTGTTTTGTTTTTTTTCTGTTGGGGCCAGGTTAATAGAGTTTTTCAGAATCTTGATTCAGCCACGTTCTGCTGTCATCTTGAGTGGATGTTTATCTCCAGGGGTCTGTTAAAGGGCTCTGAGATGAATCAGTGAAGGAACTACTGGAATGCCCACAGTGGGCACCATCAGTGTCCTTGAGTCTGCTCATGCCTGCTGCTGAGAGCCTTTTCATACACTTTCAGAAATTTTACAATCACCATTTGCCGTTTTGCATAAATTTTCAGGAATTTTGCATAGCTTTTTGATGCTGTTGGTAGCTTGACATCAGCCAAGGTGCGTGTATTTGCACCACAGAAATGGGAAAATGCAGCAAATCAGCTTCCCTCCTACTAGCTGGTTGTTAAACACAGCATCTCCCCCAACCTGGGATATTTCGGTTCAGATGATGAGCTGGAGAATAGAAGAGCCACCACCTTAGTGTTCACCACAGCTTTATCCACAGGCACTGTGTTCCAACTCCTCAGATTCATTTTTAAGAAATGTAAAGTAAGCTGTTTATATTTTTAATAAGCCCAAAGCCAAATACTCCTTCTAAAACTTTTCATTTAGGTTCTTATATTAAATAACATCAGGGAACTACAAAGGAAGGGTCACCATTTATACTGTGTTCTTGAAATTTTCTTTTCCATACTGTTCTGGCCAAGAGCCTAAATTCAAAGGACAACATTCTGTTCACTTTCCCCAGCATTCCTGTTTGTATTTCCAGATGTCATCTGAAACTCCCCTCCCGCGAAAAGCCACCTGACACTTGATCACAGTGAAGCATGGTGGCACTAGCTTGAACCCTACTACCTACCCTGTTATAACACTCAAAATGCCAGGTTCTCCCAAGGCTCAGGCTGTAGAGATGTGGCATTTACTCTAAGTTACATAGATTCCATTGCTAATAAGCTACCTTAAAGAGCTGAAGAAAGACCACTGTGCTTCCAGATAATTTTTGAAGGACTGTTCCCGAGATTTACTCTTTATCCTTGGCCATATTTCATGCTGAGATAGACATACTTTACATAATTCTCTTTATGAGTTCAGTAATATTCTATGTTTGATTCAAAGCTGCACATAGAGGTTAGGATCAGTCCAGCGACCCAGTCGGGGCCCATTACTTAGACCGGTTAGCTCCTGAAATGAAGATCCTTTATTTTCAAGGTGTTAGGTTTTCCCTGAAGGACTGGAATTTATCTGTAAGTCCTTCCCCTGCTTTCTTTCTTGGAGGACATATATCAAGGAGCTCTGGCTGAGCAGCTAATACACAAAGGTGGGGAGTTACAAGTCCCTTCTATAGTAAGTTGCCATCTAGTGAAGGGTGGGTAACTGGTTGAATTACATACAAAGCTCTGTTCTGTAGTGGACGTTCTCCTAGAGCAGCCATATAGGGAGGTTCGGAGCATGAGACATACCATGCATGGAAGGCTATAGCCCTTCCCTTGCTAACTAATCTCTCTCACCTTTGCTTCCCAGATCTATATGGTGGGGATAATTGTAGTACTCACATGTTAGGGATGCTGCAGAAATTTTTGCCTGACAAGTAGTAATTCATCAAGATTAGCCATCATTATTATTATTCCATAACCATTGTTATTATTAAGTATGAACAGGGATATTTTTTAAAAAGAGAGCACATGCAGGAGGAGGGGCAGAGGGAGAGAGAAACTCTAACCAGACTCCATGCTGAGCACAGGGCCCCAATGCGGGGCTTGATCTCACGACCCTGAGATCATGACCCGAGCCAAAACCAAGAGTTGGACACTTAACCAATTGTGCCACCTAGATGCCCCTGAACAAGGCATTTTGAATACATGGAGGCAGACGTTGTCATCCCTCCCTCTTTCCCTGGATATCAGGGAATGTATCACAGCAGAAGTGATACTTAGGATGCCTTGGTAGATGTCAACTCTGTTGGATGGTGAAAATAGGGAGCCAGAGACCTAGAGTACCCACTGTCTCCCCATGCTAGAGCCAGGGATCTGGGGGAGGGGAGAAAGGCCAAGACCAGATGGCATTCCAGCACCTGGGTTGTCAGGAATATGCTCACAATGAACATGGAACATAACATGGTTTTATTCCTAAGCATACTTTGAGACCCACACCCCTGCCTGGTCCTTATCTTGCAGACTCTGTGATTCAGAGCTGAGGGCAGCTTGGGTGCAATATCTCCTCTTCCTTTCTGGGCCCTTCCCAAGTTCCCACTTAGTCTTCTGTGCATTCAAATTAAAGGTAGGCCCAGGTCCAACACATTGCACAGACTGCATGAGATGGAAGAGAGAAGACTGCCACTTACCCCTGAGGGGGCTTCTGGAGAGCTGGTGATGCTGTTACCTGAGCTCAGGGCTGGTTAAACAGGAGTGTGATTTGTGAAAGTGCATTGTAGGATATATTTAAGAAATGCACGTTTTTTGTACATGTATTATACCTTGACTCCATCCTCCCTACACCTGCCAACTCATCTGTTCTAGGAGGAGAAAGGGAAGCGGTGTCTATCTTAGTCATTTCAGGCTGTCATAGCAAAATACCACAGACTGGGCAGCTTAAACAGCAGACATTGATTTCTCACAGTTATGGAGGCTGGAAGTCCCATATCGAAGTGCCGGCCAATTTGGTTCCTTAAAGGGCTCTCTTCCTGGCTTGCAGATGGCTGTCTTCTTCTGTATCCTTGAATGGTGGAGGGAGATCATCTCTCTTGTGTCCCTTATTATAAGGGCACTAACCTCAGTTATGAGTCTTCTACCTTCCCTCCTAATGCCATCACAGTGAGGGTTAGGGCTTCATCCTATGAATTATGGGGATAAGGGGACACATTCAGCCCATATCAGCTCTCAGCACAGGGAACAGAGAAGGGCAGGGCCAATGAGGTGTCCTTAGTCAATGCTGTATTTCTAGAGAAAAGATAGAGACCATCTCATTAAATTGACAATAGGAAAAAAACTGAGGCTGACCTGGAGAGCAGCTTTCTGCACTGGGTAGAAAATTTGTCCCAATGTACAGAACCCTGCATATTTATTAATATGCTAATTTATTAATACTGCTAATTTATTAATTATGTTTGTGGAAAAAGTACATTCTGGATAATGTTGCTTTCAAAAAATAATGGGCTTGTGTGGTCTGTTTAGACAGCTGACAGTAAGCATTGCTGAGAGCAAATATTGTGGATGTCATTCAGAAGCTTTGTATGGGTTGGATAATTTTTAAAACTTTTTCATCCTTCAGAATATGGTCATTCCCACCATCTCCCCACAAGCTTTGTTTCCAAGTTATCTGTTATGTTAAAAATTAGCCACCTGTTAGAAAGCACTAGAAGTGCTTTGTTTTAAGTACAGAGAATTATGTTCAGTGCCTCACAGTCATTCTGAGTCATTCTTGACTGTGTCAATCGAGGGAGCTACTGAAAGTGTTCACCAGGGTCCAGAAATGATGAATCATCATCCACATGAGACAGGCATCAAGCAGGTCCCAGTCTATGGGGTCATGCCAGCATCTTTGGTATGTTGGCAGTGGCGTTCGTGCCCCATCAGGATCTGAGGGCATGTGCAGAGGGGGCTCACCTACACTTGCACATTTGACCAGGTGCCACTGGGATTGAAGATCGCCTGCAGGATGGAGTCCCAGAAACCATTGCTAAATTGCGTCAAGCAGGCCTGCAGATTTGGGTTCTCACTGGTGACAAACAAGAAACAGCCATTAACATTGCATATGCCTGCAAACTGCTGGACCATGATGAGGAAGTTATCACCCTGAATGCTGAATCCCAGGTATGTAGGTTTCCAGGAAGCCATGCTCTGCCTGGGCCAGCTTCATACCTACCTAGCCCCCACAGCAACAGGAATGCCTTCCATTTCTTTGCCCTCTACCTCTGTGTTTGCACCTGTGTTGGGTTTCTTACATGTTCTTGTCATTGCCTAGGAAGATGTGGGATTTGATGGGATTTCTTAATTTCCGAGGGTTGCATCCCTTGACTTTATTAATGCAAAATTCAACCTGCTTTTTCCTGACCTGTTCATGTCAACAATATTGGAAAATTGTTTCGTGAGGTCACACAAGTCAGTGAACCAATCCATTCAGCATCGATATACTCAGGATGGGATTGGTTGTCTCAGGGATGCCCGCTGGGCACTTAAGAGTTTTCATCCAGTCACATTTATCTATTTAAATCTTCAAGTATGTAGGGAGTATCTACTTCTCATAAACCTGGGCTGGACTCTGATTCCTTGAGTGAACTTCCACTTGAAACATCTTTTTTGAGCTGTATGATGAGGTCTGATTCATCAACTTTTTCTCTTATGGATTATCATTTAGCTGTTACATTTAAGATGTGCCTAGCCACAAAGATTTCTCCTATATATTGTTCCAAAAGTTTTGTAATTTATTGTTGCACCTTTAGACAGGTTCCATTTTGTGTGGAATTTTGTATAAGGTTCAGATCAAACTTCATTCTTCTGCATATAGCTGACTAATCCAGCACCATTTGTTGAAAAGTCTTTTTTCCACTAAATTGTCTTTACACTTTCATTGAAAATCAGTTGGTCATGTTTTTTAGGGTCTATTTCTGGATATTCTGTTCTGTTGCACTGGCCTGTGTGTCTATCCCTTCACCAGTAACATGCTGCCCTGTGGGTTTTTTTTAGAAGTCTTTTATTGGTAGTTTTTTTCCCTGATTATTCTTTGTTTTCAGTTCTTCCATGCCCATTCCCACCTTCCTTGGGTTACTTAAAGTATCTTTTAGTATTCCATTTTTTCTTTTTTTTTGCATTTTATTTTTTTATTATGTTATGTTAATCACCATACATTACATAATTAGTTTTTGATGTAGTGTTCCACGATTCATTGTTTATGCATAACACCCAGTGCTCCATGCAGAACGTACCCTCTTTAATATCCATCACCACATTAACCCATCCTCCCACCCACTCCCCTCTAGAACCCTCAGTTTGTTTTTCAGAGTCCATCATCTATCATGGTTCGTCACCCCTCCAGTTCCTCCCCTTCATTCTTCCCCTCCTGCTATCTTCTTTTTTTTTCTCAACATATGTTGCATTATTTGTTTCAGAGGTACAGATCTGTGATTCAACAGTCTTGCACAATTCACTGCGCTCACCATAGCACGTACCCTCCCCAATGTCTATCACCCAGCCACCCCATCCCTCCCACCCCCCCATTCCAGCAACCCTTAGTTTGTTTCCTGAGATTAAGAATTCAACATATCAGTGAGGTCATATGGTACATGTCTTTCTCTGATTGACTTATTTCGCTTAGCATAACACCCTCCAGTTCCATCCACATCGGGGCAAATGGCAAGATCTCATTACTTTTGATGGCTGCATAATATTCCATTGTATATATATACCACTTATTCTTTATCTGTTCATCTCTTGATGGACATCTTGGCTCTTTCCACAGTTTGCGTATTGTGGACATTGCTGCTATGAACATTGGGATGCACGTACCCCTTCAGATCCCTATATTTGTATCTTTGGGGTAAATACCCAGTAGTGCAATTGCTGGATCGTATGGTAGCTCTACTTTCAACATTTTGAGGAACCTCCATACTGTTTTCCAGAGGGTTGCACCAGCTTGCATTCCCACCAACAGTGTAGGAGGGTTCCCCTTTCTCTGAATCCCTGCCAACATCTGTCGTTTCCTGACTTGTTAATTTTAGCCATTCTGACTGGTGTGAGGTGGTATCTCATTGAGGTTTTGATTTGGATTTCCCTGATGCCGAGGGATGTTGAGCACTTTTTCATGTGTCTGTTGGCCATTTGGATGTCTTCTTTGGAAAAATGTCTGTTCATGTCTTCTGCCCATTTCTTGAGTGGATCATGTGTTCTTTGGGTATTGAGTTTGATAAGTTCTTTATAGATTTTGGATACTAGCCCTTTATCTGGTATGTCATTTGCAAATATCTTCTCCCATTCAATCGGTTGTCTTTTGGTTTTGTTCATTGTTTGTTTTGCTGTGCAAAACCTTTTTATGTGGTGACGTCCCAGTAGTTCATTTTTGCCCTTGCTTCCCTTGCCTTTGGTGATGTTTCTAGGAAGAAGTTGCTGCAGCTGAGGTCAAAGATTGCTGCCTGTGTTCTCCATTAGGATTTTGATGGACTCCTGTCTCACATTTAAGTCTTTCAACCATTTTGAGTCTATTTTTGTATGTGGTATAAGGAAATGGTTCAGTGTCATTCTTCTGCATGTGGCTGTCCAATTTTCCCAACACCATTTGTTGAAGAGACTGTCTTTTTTTCTATTGGACATTCTTTCCTGCTTTGTCAAAGATTAGTTGACCATACAGTTGAGGGTCCATTTCTAGGCTCTCTATTCTGTTCCATTGATCTTTGTGCCTGTTTTTCTGGCAGTCCAATACTGTCTTGATGATGAACAGCTTTGTAATAGAGCTGGAAGTCTGGAATTCTGATGCCACCAGCTTTGCTTTTCTTTTTCAATATTCCTTTGGTTATTCGGGGTCTCTTCTGGTTCCATACAAATTTTAGGATTATTTGTTCCATTTCTTTGAAAAAAGTGGATGGTATTTTCATGGGGATTGTATTGAATGGGTAGATTGCTCTAGGTAGCATTGACATCTTCACAATGTTTGTTCTTCCAATCCATGAGCATGGAACGTTTTTCCATTTCTTTGTATCTTCTTCAATTTCCTTCATGAGTATTTTATAGTTTTCTGAGTACAGATCCTTTGCCTCTTTGGTTAAATTTATTCCTAGGTATCTTATGGTTTTGGGTGCAATTGGAAATGGGATCGACTCCTTGATTTGTCTGTCTTCTGTCTTGTTGTTGGTGTATAGGAATGCCACTGATTTCTGTGCATTGATTTTATATCCTGCTACTTTACTGAATTCCTGTATGAGTTCTAGCAGTTTTGGGGTGGAGTCTTTTGGGTTTTCCACATACAGTATCATATCATCTGCAAAGAGTGAGAGTTTGACTTCCTCTTTGCCGATTTGGATGCTTTGATTTCTTTTTGTTGTCTGATTGCTGAGGCTAGGACTTCTAATACTATGTTGAATAGCAGTGGTGATAGTGAACATCCCTGCAGGGATCCTGACCTTAGGGGAAAAGCTAAGAGATTATCCCCATTGAGAATGATATTCGCTGTAGGTTTTTCATAGATGGCTTTTATGATATTGAGGTATGTACCCTCTATCCCTATACTCTGAAGAGTTTTGATCAAGAAAGGATGCTGTACTTTGTCAAATGCTTTTTCTGCATCTATTGAGAGGATCATATGATTCTTGTTCTTTCTTTTGTTAATGTGTTGTATCACGTTGATTGATTTGCGGGTGCTGAACCAACCTTGCAGCCCAGGGATAAATCCCACTTGGTCATAGTGAATAATGCTTTTAATGTATGGTTGGATCCTATTGGCTAGTATTTTGGTGAGAATTTTTTGATGGGCTCCTTGTCTGGTTTTGGGATCAAGGTAATGGTGGTCTCATAAAATGAGTTTGGAAGTTTTCCTTCCATTTCTATTTTTTGAAACAGTTTCAGGAGAAT